GAGGATCGTGGCTGGAGGCCAGCCGGGGCAGGAAAGTCCATGAGGTTTTTGTCTCCAAGGAACCGGCAAAATGCTGGAAGTGGCGTTGTGGCTCAAGTGGTAGAGCACCAGCCTTGAGTTGAAGAGCTGAGGGACAGCGCCCAGGCCCTGAGTTCAGGACCTACAACCAACAAACACACACACACACACACAAACACGGAGAAGGGACGTGTGCTGGCATCCACTACTTGGGACACAGCCAAAGGACTTCATGGAGCATTTGCTATTCCACTATCAATAAAATAATAATAATAATAATAAATCGCTTTCAGTGTTGAATTTAAGACACGCTGAGCCGGTGGCTCACACCTGTAATCCCAGCTACACGGGAGGCTGAGCGCTGAGGATCGTGGAGAAGAAAGTTGGGGTAAGAAAGTCTGCGACGCCCTCATCTCCAACGAACCAGCAAAAGCCAGGAGTGGGGCTGTGGCTCAAGTGGTAGAGCGCCAGCCTTCGGTGAAAAAGCTAACAGACAGAATGCACGCCTGAAATTCAATCCCCGGGACAACCAAAACAAGCCCCACGACACACACACACACACACACACACACACACGCAAAACAAGAAACTGTGTGATTCCCACCTTTCTTTTTGCTGTCTAACCAACGAACACAACTGCAAATGCCAACAAATGCTGTTGAGGAAGCAGAGTGTGAAAACTGAGCTCATGAAGCTTAATTTATCACAGGGAAAGGAGGGACAGAGGCCGACGTGGCCACACTAGACGCCATGTGGAAAACGAACTCTACAACTCAAGGCTGGTGCTCTACCACTTAAACCACAGCGCCACTTCCAGCTTTTTGATAGTTTAATTGGAGAGGAGTCTCACAGGAGGGAAAAAGTGGAGAGAGAGAGGTCGTGGGGCTTGAACTCTGGGCCTGAGCGCTGTCCCCGAGCTCTTCAGCTGAGCCACAGCGCCACTTCTGGTTTTCTGGGAGGGGGGGTCACTGGAGATCAGAGTCTCACGGACTTTCCTGCCCGGGCTGGCTTTGAACCGTGATCCTCAGATCTCAGCCTCCTGAGTAGCTGGGATTGCAGGCGTGAGCCACAGTGCCCGGCTGCTTCTTCTTTTCTGTCCACATTATGAAGATGGTTGCTTAGGTTTCTGGTTGAAAGTTGCTCTGGGTAGCTCACAGATTCTACTTGCCTTCCCTGCACAGGAAAAGTTACTCCAGGCCCAACGGTCTTTGTGGTTCACCAGCACCGCGCAGTTTCCTTCCTGGAAGTGGTTGGGTTTATTCTGGTGCCAGAATCTGATGGAAAGAATGAAATGGTCGATGATCCGACACAGATCTAGATAATTAGAGGTACAGGCCATCGATACAAGTCAGAGAAAATGCATCTGAGATGCGGCTAAGCTATATTGAGAAGTGTTCTTAAGTATAAGTGCTCATGATATCTCAAAGACTTAATACCAAAAAGAAAAAAGAAAAAAAAAATAGCCAGGCCCTGGTAGCTCACACCTGTAATCCCAGCTACTCAGGAGGCTGAAATCTTAGGAGTGTGGTTTGAAGCCAGCCCGAGCAAGAAAGTCCATGAGACTCTTATCTCCAATGAGCCACTAAAAAAAATAATAATAATTCAAGAAGTGGAGCTGTGGCTCAAGTGGTAGAGAGCCAGCCTTGAATGAAAAAACTCAAGAGATGGTGCCCAGGCCCTGAGTTCAAGCCCCAGGACCAGCGCACACACACACACACACACACACACACACACACACACACACACAAAATAATGGAAAAGGGGTGAGTTACAATGGTGAAAAAGCCCTTTGAAAAAGCAACATACAGGCAAAGAAAAAGTATATATTAGGAAAGTCACAACCTGTGTGCACGGAGTTGAACACTAGCAATGAACGAGCGGAGAGGGGGAAAGACGTCGATTAAGTCAGCAGCCTATGAACATGGCTGGCGATGGAGCAAGGGCCAGAAAGGTCGGATTGAGCAAAGACAGGGGAGAGGCTGGAGGATGGGGGGAGAGAGAGGGGAGGGAGAGGGGGAGGGAGAGGGGAGGGAGAGGGGGAGGGAGAGGGGGAGGGAGAGGAGATGCTGACTGAGATGCCTTTGTACAAATAATTGGTGCTAACTGGAAAAAAATAGGAAGAAAAACAGAACGACACACCTCGGTGATAATATTACATGGAATACCTATTAGAATAAGAAGGCCGGGCGCCGGCGGCTCCCGCCTGTCACCCCAGCTGCTCAGGAGGCTGAGATCTGGGGATCACAGTTCAAAGCCAGCCCGGGCAGGAAAGTCTTAATCTCCAAGGAGCACCAAAAAGCTAGCAGTGGAGGTGTGGCTCAAGTGGTAGAGCACCAACCAGCTCTGGGTTTGGAAAAGCCAAATGAGAAAGTAAGGAGGCCCTGAGTTAAAGACCTGGGATTGCGGTGCACGCACGTGCACACACGCACACGCACACACACGCACACACACACAGAACATATTTTCCATCTCATACCCATATTATCTGTTCTTTTGGGGTTTTTTGGCCCATCGTAGGACTTGAACTCAGGGCCTGGGAGCACTGTCCCTGAGCCCGTTCTGCTGCAGGCTGGTGCTTGAGCATTCTGAGGCACAGTCCTACTTCTAGCTTTTTCTGCGTGTGCCTGGAGTTACAGCCCCCTCAGCGCTGCGCGCCCTGCCCCGCCCCGGCCCGGCCCGGGGCCCCCATCCCCGCTCCACTCACCCCGCATGTGGGTCGAAGGGCGTCCCGTCCACCCACTGCCACTGCTGCCCACTCTCCTCATAAATGAGTCCCAGGAAGTATGGAAACCCACTCTGCAAAAACTGCGTGGCGAAGTCCTGTAAGCAACGCACAGGTGCTCAGGAACACGCGTGGAGGGGGGGCAGAGGCAGCGGCCTTCCCTGGTGCCCAGCCAGGCCGCGAGGCCACGGGGCAGCGCTGCTCCCAAGGCGGCCGGTGTTCGAGTCCTGTCCCTCCCTCCCCACACAACCTGCACCAGACTGGGTTTTGTTTTTTGGTCAGTCGTGGGTCTTGAACTCAGGGCCTGGGCGCTGTCCTGCAGCTCTTCAGCTCCAGGCTGGCGCTCTACCCCTTGAGCCACAGCGCCACTTCCGGTTTTCTGGTGGTTCATGGGAGATCAGAGTCTCACGGACTTTTCTGCCCGGGCTGGCTTGGAACCTCGAGCCTCAGATCTCAGCCTCCTGAGGAGCTGGGATGACAGGCAGGAGCTACGGAGCCCGGCTTGGATTTTTTTTTAAAGAGACTTTTATGTGTGAACTCTCCGATCACTGCTGTGTAGTGCATGAAATCCCATTGATCAAGAGCCTCCAAGAAAGCCTAGCTGCGGGCCATTACCTACAGGAAGAAGAGAAGGAGAGGGAAGGAGAGGGGGGAGAGAGGGGAGGGAAAGAGGAGAGAGAGAGGGGAAAAGGGAGCAGGGAGGGAAAAGAAGGGAAGGAGAGGAAAAGGGAGGAGCCAGAGGAGGACAGGAAGAAAGGGAAGGGCTGGGCGCTGGCTCCCGCCGGTCATCCCAGCTCCTCAGGAGGCTGAGATCGGAGGATCGCGGTTCAAGGCCAGCCCGGGCAGGAAAATCTGTGAGACTCTAATCTCCCATGAACCACTAAAAAGCCAGAGGTGGCGCTGTGGCTCAAGTGGTAGAGCGCCCGCCTTGAGCTGAAGAGCTGAGGGACAGCGCCCAGGCCCAGAGTTCAAGCCCCAGGACTGACCAAAGGGAGATGGGAAGGGAAAGAAGGGAAGGAGAAAAGAGGAGAGGAAAAGAGGGGAGGGGAGGGGAGAGGGGAGGGGGGAGGGGAGAGAAGAGAAGAGGAGAATTATTGGTTGAATTTGCCAGCTCACCATGGAGCAGACCCAGGTAAAGACCCTCATGGGTAATGAAAGGAGCCGGGCTGTGAACTTACTTCCAGCTGCCGTTCCTAAACATGGCCTGGACACTCCAAGAAGACCCGAAGATGTTGAGAGACTTGGAGAAGCAGTCGTTGTAGATCAGCCCCGTGTAAATGGAGAAGATGCCCATGAGGAGGATCAGGTAGCGCCCGTGGAAGAAGGTGTTCCAGATCTGGCCCAGGAGACAGGGGGACTCAGGAGGGGCGGGGCTGAGGCTGTCTCCACGTCACTGGGAGGGCTGGCTGGGGAGGGGCAACGTCTCTCTCTCACACACACACACACACACACACACACACGTGTCTTCACTTCACAGTGGTTGGGGTCTTCCATTATAAAGCTAAGTGTAAGTGTGCCGAAGGGGGGAGTGATTTCCGGCGAGGGTGGGATGGTGTGGACTAGTCATTAGCGGAATGGCTGAAGTGGAAATTGGCAACTCACTTGAAATGTTTCCCCTAGAAAACACCTCCCTTACCCTGGTGGCAGAATGCTGTATTTGGATGGCTCTGCCCATTGACCTTGCTTCTGTTAACTCACTCTGATGTCACTGAGCGAACGCTAATCAATTCCACCGCCATTCAAGATGGCGCCACCTCACAACTCATAGCAGAGCTACCGGCATAGTGGCCTTGGCAAATGGATTGCATAGATGCTAATCAATGAACTGATACTGTGTAATTCATTACCAGATTGCTAGAATCTTCCTGTCACTCCTGGAAAGGAGTTCATGAAGATACAGCTAGAAGAACTGATATTCAAGATTTCTTAGTCAGAACTTGTGGGCAATGGACTCTTACGAACAAATATGCATGATATTTGAAGTTTAAAATGGAAGCTACAAACTGGGTACTGATGGCTCATGTCTTAAATCCTATTCAGGAGGCTGAGATCTGAGGATCAAAATTTGAAGCCAGTCTGGGCAAGAAAGTCCATGAGATTCTTTGTTTTTGTTTTTGTTTTGTTTTGGATCCGGTCATGGGGCCTGAACTCTGGGCCTGGGCGCTGTCCCTCAGCTCTTCAGCTCAAGGCTAGTGCTCTATCACTTGAGCCACAGTACCACTTCTGATTTTCTAGTGGTTTATTGGAGATAAGAGTCTCA